CGCATAGAGCCTGCTGTTGAGCGGGGATATGCGCTATACAAATGCTATCTATTATTATTATTATTATTAAGTACATGGTCGTCGGGAGACAGAAAATATGGGTTTTCTGGCAGATTCCGTCCCTGGCTGAGTCTGTGATGATTTGTACTTACCCGTATGCGATGCTTACTGCCGTGGGCAGATAGAGAGGTTTGCTTTGGTTTATTTGTTTGCTTTTTGTTGGTTTGTTGTTTTGGGGGGTTTTGTATCTTTTTTAATTAAATCAAAATATTACGTGTATGAGCATGTTAGAGTGGTATGCGTTGTTCTGAATGTAAAATAAGAACTTGCTATACTGATTTGGTAGCCTATAAAAGCTAGATATAGTATGGAATAACGCCAATTATTGCAAGGCTATGTTGGTGAAACTAATTATGAAATAACATCAATTGCAAGGCTGTGTTAGTGAAACTAGGAATAAAATAGCGCCAATTGCTAGGTTTGAAACGACAGGGTGATCCCAAAAAATGGACAATCTCGCGCAAATATTGTTCTAGAAAAATGAAATTTGGAAGAGATAAACTTTATTCTAAAGGAATTTGTCTGACATAAAATTCATACAGAATAAAGTTATTTTCAGAACGGAAAAAGCATAAAGAAAAAAACCCCAATAAACGCAAAATGCGCCAATTTTTAAAAAAGACACTCTCACAAGGAAAATCATGAGACGATCGATTTGATTTCTGTCTTTTTTTTCTCTATATCATTTAATTGTTCCAACCTTGTGACATTAAACAATATTTAACTTCTCTTAGGAGTTAAAGAACTAACATTTTTGTTTTGGAATTTCTAAAACTAATGCTCCACATGTCCTCCTTTGGACTCCAAACATCTTTTAACCCGTCGTTTGAAATGCTCGATGACGCCCAAACACAGTTTCCGCGGAATGTTTCTCACTTCATCACGGATTGCTTGTTTCATAATTTCAATGTTTTCAAACTGGTTTTGAAATATCCTGTCCTTCAGATAGCCCCACAAGAAAAAGTCTAAAGGGTTCAGGTCAGGAGAATGCGGAGCCCAAATGTGTTCACTTTTACGACTGATCACACGATCTCCAAAGTGGTCCGCTAGCCAGGTCATTGATCTGACAGGAACGTGTGGATTGGCCCCTTCTTGCATGAACCACTGGTCTTGGCGATCCTAGTACCGGTGTCTCCTCAGGTCCGTCCAGAATTTGTCACGACATTTTGTGGTAATGCGTACTGGTGTGTAGTGTAATATGAATGGGACAAAAGCAAAAAATGGGTTGTTTTTTAAATGCGCATTATACTGCAGAATTATTTAGTGGAATCATCAAAATTGAACATCAATCTAATTCCTTTTGAATGAGGAATATTGAGTTCAAATTTGAAGATGAAGGTTAAGTGTGGAGGAAAATATTTACGAAAAAAGTTGTAAAGTTTTTTTGGGATCACCCTGTATGTATGACAAAACACTTTGTGAGTGAAAGGAAAGAAAGAATGTGAACGTGTCAGCTTATTCAAGACAATAGGACACGCTTTAGTTGAGAGGAACAAGTTGTACCAATCGAAATACACTTAGCGAGTGACCCGCTCGCCAGTGGTTCACCTGAGTACCTAAAAAATAATGGCACTGTGAAGATTTCGTCGTCCCTTAGTCCTCGTCAAGCCATTCTCCCCTCGCTTCACCCGACTGGCGGATGGATAGCTGCAACACAGCTCAGGAAAGTTTTTTAACTCTAAATCAAAAGGGTTCTTAGACGGATTTTATATTGAATAGGGCCCTACAGGTTCTTAGTTCCTAGGCACGTAGAATATATTATCCGGTAAAGGGGACTGCAAGCAGGTTCTTGGGCAGACACGGGTTCTTACACAAAGTGTTCTTTTCGGAGATCAATCTATCTATTTATCTTCTATCTGTCTATCTAAAAGTTTAGCATTTCGATTATATAACAGGTATAGAATAAAATTTATCACAATGATCACAATGAACAGTACAACCGAATATATGATTTTTAAAAAATAAATACTGATACACAACTCACCGAAGGCAAATTCCCAAGAAAAAAGTCTGATTGTGCCGAGAGAGAAGAACCTAATTTGGTTCAAAGAAAGAAGAAAACGAGGGAAGAAATCTGTGTAGTGTTGGCTGGCACGATAGGTCTCCGTTAATAGCTGTAACACTAACAGCCTTGACTGAGAACCGACGAAACAGTGACTGGCTGCCAGGAGAAACGTTCCAGCGTGGTTTACCATAGTCGATTGGATAATCCCTCGAGCTTATTGGAACGCAAACACGGACACACACACA